GATGAAAGAAGGTCAAATGCTAAAGAGCAGGAATAAGACCATATTGTCAGGGACAGCTGGAAGGGGACACTGTAATGGAGAGGTCAGAACTAACTGGTGGTCGGGAAAATCTGCTTCTGCTTCTCTAACGCTGTAATTACAGCAAGGAGATGGGCCTAGTGATTCTATCACCACTCTATTCTACAAAGTATTTCTACTTTGACTAAACCCTAACTTTTGTTTAGATTTGGTTCATTTTGGGGTCCTGGCACATTGATATATCATGTCTTTCTCTGTATAACCACTTCGAAGGGAAATGTAATTCATTTGTATCTGATGCCCACAAAAAGTAAATGTGACTTGTTTCTCAATTTTAAAAAGCAGGAGTGTTTTTAAAACATCTATGTTGGGGATCCCTGGGTGGCTCAGTGGTTTGGCACCTGCCTTTGGCCCAGGGTGTGATCCTGGATTCCCAGGATCGAGTCCCATGTCAGGTTCCTGTCATGGAACCTGCTTCTCCCTCTGCCTGTCTCTCTGCCTCTCTCTCTCTCTCTCTCTCTCTCTCTCTCTCTCTCTCTCTCTCTTTCTCTCATGAATAAATAAATAAAATCTTTAAAAAAATAAAAAATAATTAAACATCCATGTTTGAGCGAAGAAACTAAGGAGGATCTTAGATCAGAGTTCACAAACATTAAAATGTTCACCTTCTAAAACCTGATTTTTCAAATAAACATGATGACTGTACAAAATCATATGGATTTTTTAAAAAGAACCTAAATATGAAAAACATCAGTTGGGGCCTTAAAACCAGAGAAGGTGCCTACCAGTGACCCGCTGAGCTCTTGGACCCGCTGATTTCCTAGTGATCGTGGAGGAGGCATGACCTTGAACAATCCAAAAAGGGGAGAGAGTGGAGGGAAAGAGAAGATGGGGAGGGATACAAACACATGTATGCCACCAAAAAAGAAAAAAAAAGTCCCCTAAAAAAAATGAGCATTTAAACTGCTTGTCAGAAGGCATCCTGACAAAGCCACTAGAGTGTATTCACAGGCATTTGCATAAATGCTGCCGGTGAGTTCACCATAGCTGCTAGCGCTAATGGTACATAAAGTAATTTAGTCACTTCTCCCGGCATTCTATGTCAGAATGATGAGCGCCGGCACTTTGCCTTGTTGCATATTAGATCATTAGATAATAAAGTGTTAGTGCATGCAAGCTGACAGGGTCGCCGCACTATAGCTTTGTGAGGGCACCGCGTTTTGCCACAGAGGGAAAAAATAGAGAAACTGATGCTACAATTGGCCTGAAATTCAAGTAAACACAACCTGAAACTCAAGAGAACAATAATAACAATATCAACACACCCAAGCCTTTAAAGATCCCTAGCACACAGTCCCCAGGAATTTGCCCAAGAGACAGGAAGACAGTACAAACACATAAGCTAGGGCTGCACATCACTGTGGGTGGGGACAATTCTGCATCTTTGGCCCCAGGTGTCTGCTTTTCAAAAATTGAAACCCTGAGAGTAGTCACCTTCTAATGCTACCTCTCTCCACAGTACACATCTTCTATAAAGCCACTGCTTGCTTCAAGACGAAACCTCACTGGCCTGAACTCTCCCATAAATATCCAGCCAAAGAAAATCTCAGTATTTATGAATGAAGAAAAAAACGAGGTAGAGCAATTACCATGAGCTACAAGATGCCAGGATTCACCTTCTTTGGACCATGCAAGATTCTATGAAATAAATTTGCCTTTGTCAACATTCCTACTTGAAATACAGGGGCTGTTATTTGAGCATGGAGGTTTGGAAGTCCGTGGGTCACACAGGGAAGACTGCATGAATGTAAAGCATGGTCTCTTTTTTCTACTTATATGCAGAAAGATGAGCTACGAAAGAGAACTTTCCTCCAACTATCTGACAAGCAGGCTATAAATAGAGATGTGCAGAGTTGCTCAAAATAATTCAGGCTACCTGTAAATGAGATGGTAAAAAGCCCAGAGTGAGAAAAAATGAAGGCTCCTACAGGTCACCTAGGAGGTGAAAATACCTACTAGCAGTCTCACTGCATAGTAGCTGTCTGAGGAGGGGGTGAAAGACTGGCACAGCCGAAGAGTATGGTGGTTGGTTCTGGAAATCTAAAACAGGGCACTTTCAAACAGGATTTTTCAATGGCAGATAGAGTATTACCATACCCCCAATCAACATGCATTAACATCGAAGTCCACTCCCACACAACCCCAATGAAAGAGCTCAGTAGTCACCCTTTGCTGAGTAGATATTTATGTATCAGCCTGAAGTGTCTGAGTGGGTGGTTTTGAGTGGTTGGTTGATTCATTCTGCAGAGAAGCAGATTTCCATGTATTATTGTTACAAGGAAACTCATGGTATCTATCCTTTTATTCTCCTGAAGAGAAATAAAGTAGGCTTTGGTGACAGTGAGGCCCCCTAGCTGAAGAAGATAGGACATCCCTAATGATGGTTAACCACTAACGAACAGTGAATTGTCATCACTTTCTTGAACAATATGTTAATAATAACATGGCCACTTGTGGACTGGTGAGCTGGAGAAGAGGAATAAAATGCTGTCTCTAAAACTTAGAATGATATGCTATTCCACTTGAAATATTAATATGTACACTTAGAAGCAAAAATATTTGAGTTGGGAACAAGCCTAGAGATGTTTTAGCCTAGAGATCTCCAACTGTGAGCCTTTGGCTATATTCTTGCTAAGTGACATTCCCCCCTTCCTCCCTTCAGGGTTGAAAAGTTTTATAATTAGTTACCAACAATTAAAAGTGAGGAGCTTTAATTCTTGCCAAACTAGCACATCTGTTCCCACTGGGCTCTCAGTCCCTTTGGCCACAACTGTCTGGGGCCACAGGACAGCAGAACATGAACTTGCTCTTCTTCTTCAGCCTCCACCCAGCCCACTTCCCCTCTGTACATGACCTGCCCCCACTCAAGACACACATTTTTTTTGTTGTTGTTACATGCCCAGATCATCACCTTCATTTTACCAAGAAGAAAACTAAAGATACCAAAGGTAAGGTGACTTGTCCAAGGTCACATAAAGGCAAGAGGTGAAACTAAAAATTGAATTTAGGTTTCCTGGCTCCTACTTCAAGATTCTTTCCTCCACATCATGATGCAAAATAATGGTCCTGATCTCCATGCTCTAGAGGTGTCCTTTCTAGCAGGTCATTTCTGTTGGATTGTGTTGGGTTGTTTCGGGGGAGAGATGCTTGATCTGTCCCTAACTTCCCAAAGGCAGGAATGGGAGCCGGCTGTGGTCTGAACTTGGAGCACAAGTTCATAACTGTGAACCCATAACTGATACATTTCAAACTGACAGTCAGGTCTGTCCTGGACAGGATGGTAACAATTATAACTAACCAGCCACAGTGGAAAACAAAACTTCAGTTTTTAAACCACAGCTTTCCAAATTGTGCTCACTGAGTATTTGCCTAGTTTTTCCTCTTCCTTTCCCCTAAATACTTTTAGTGATACAATACCTTAAGTGACTCCAAGGGTATTAAAAAGGCAGCATTACCGTAAAGTGAGGATCAGAATAATTTTAAGTACAGGAATGGAACTAGGAATGTAATCATGAGCAGGTGTTTCAAATGGCCTCCTGCAAAAAAGTAATATCCATCCATCTCAGCACTAATGAAACCATAAAGAAGCAGCTTTTGAAAGATGATGGTTTACTTTAAAAAAAACTGTAAAACTGGATGTGATGAAGAATCCCTTCCAAGAGTGTTACATCTGGCTAATTAATAAAAAGTACAGTTTGTGTATTCGTTAAATGCAGAAAAAAAATCAGGCAAAAATAATGATAGTGGTGTGTTTATTAAATTAGAATGCTGGCAGGGAAGGGAGTTTTCTACCTTATGAATTATATCATGGACAGCTCATGGCCCTTGGAAAAATCAGGCAATCAGGTGGTAATTTGTGCAGTAGTGTTTTTAAAAAGAATCCTGCTGACCTAGCAAACTGGAAAGTGAAGTGGAGAAATGGGTATACAGTCTAATTTGAAGGAGATAAGAGAAAATCTAGCCTAGTGGTTGGTATCCAGTATAGTCTCAATCATTGTTTCTTGGATGGATGGTTGGATGGATGGATTGATAAAAGATGAATACGTGGATGGGTGGATGGAGGAAGGACAGATGGATGGATGTACAGACAGATGCATGAAAAGTGAATGTATGGATGAATGGATAGAGGGATTACGGATAGATGGATAAATGGATGAGTAGAAGGATAGGTCAATGGATGGATGGACAGATGGAAGGATGTATACCTTATATATACGTGTAGTACAAAAATATTCAGGTGTACATTCAATCTAGCCCATGGTTCCTTTGAGTGGCATTCACATTCCTTGATTCAAATTTTTATCTGGTTTCCTCCAGTTCTCTCAAAGGTACCACTAGTTAGCCATAAATTCAAGACAAACTTTCCCCAAAACAAAGTCCACCTACAGAAAGGAGACTCTATCTTACGGTGATGAAGGGAGGATTATGCACAAGGCACAGGAGGGACATTTAGTTGGGCTTCATCTTCAGAAAATGCCTTTGACCCAGACTTTGGATTTTATCTCTAAATGAAGTTTCATATGAAGTTATAGAGATACACCAGCAGGATCGTAAAGAGGATGGAGTTCATTATACAACCAAGTCAGTTGTAAACTCAAAATGTATCATAGTATTTGTTACCCTGTGTTGGCCCCCCTTTTTTTCTCACCAAGCAGGGGCTTAAAATAAAGCAGTGGTCCAGGTTTCTCCCTGACCCTCTCAACCTGAAGGAAAGATAAATCAGCCATTTCCAAGATAGAGAGATGTGCAACAAGAAAGGCCTCAAAGATATCTTCCTGTCTTTAAATACTTGGTATCAGTATTGTTCAACAGAACATTTGAAATCGGAAACAGAGTAGAAAATGTGGTGGAGTTGGAAGAAAGAAACCAAATAGATTCACAGTTAAAGTAACAATGCCAACCAATGAAAATGATTTGCCTACCATGTTCCAGATAAGAGGGCGTACCTTCCGAGGGGTCAAGCCTCCGAGCCCTCCGCCCATGCTTAGAGTTATTATGGACAAACATGTTATCAGAGACTGCCAGGACATGGCCATCCACATTGACTGTCGTAGACACCACGACCTGGAGACAGAAGAGAGAAATGAATGAACATTTTAATATAAAAGCATGGAGGGTAATAAACTCAAGTTAAATAAATAACAGCTGGGAGCTGAAGAAAATTGCATAGCTATTTCACATAATAACTGGTGCTTATGCTGTACAAGTCTAACAAGAGGAGCTATTGATGAGTGGGTCTTTGGCATGGAACGCTTTTGATGCAGTTTTAAGTAAAATTGCACAGTTTATAGTTATACAGCAGAAGGTACACTGTTAACCATAATTTTAACAAGAGGATCTTTATTAGCATATTTTTTTACACAACGGTGGTTGTGTTTCACCTAAATTACCCTTCAGTTTAGACACTGAAGCAGATATCACAGTTGATCATGCAAATAAAAATCTTTTGAATCTTTAAAATATTTCCCCCCCACTGCGTCAGGGTTAAGAGGATAGAGAAATGAAAAAGAGAGGTTTCAGCGAGAGCTGGTTTGTAGCTTTCTCTCCCGTGTCTTTCTGGGGTTTCTTGTACTTTTCTTCCCACATCACTTTGATTAATCAGACCAACCTTTCCTCCCCTTGCCCTCACCTCCATCACGACTACCACCACCACCACCCCCTCTCCAAAAGATCCCTGCTAATTAAGGGCCTTAGATCTGTTTCAAAGCCAATAAACAAACAAAACAAAAAGCAACAACAACAACAAAACAAAACAAAAAGAAAGAACACTTTGGTCCAGGTATAATTCAGATACCCTAGCCACTCATAAACTGACTCTGAACCTAGTTTGCCAGAAGGAACACGGGCAAAAGTGTTTTCTCAGAGAACTTTGACTAAAACAATGAGAAGAAATGACCTACACTTCTCCTTATATTAAATAGGGAAGAGGATTAAAACTGAAACCCACAGAGATATGTTTATTCATGCGACCTCTTACAACCAAATATAATAATTGTCTGTAATTGCAGCTTCAGCTCCCACCTCATGCTTTGACATGGGAAACAGCAATCAGCCAGCTCCCGTTTAATCCACCTATTATGTTGACTAATTAACTTTCCTCGACAGTTTATTTCTTCCTCCATTATCAGCCCCTGTCAGCCGCAAGCACCCTGCAGCATAGGGGGGACCTCGGGCTCTTTGATTGATCACCGATAGATTGACATGCAGATTAATTTAATTAGAATCACCTCACTTGAGAAATGAAAGACAAAGGCAAGAGGGCTAATAGATCTGCTCTCATAATGAGGCGAACCTCCAGAGCCAAAGCTGAGGATTTCTGATTTATTTTGCTCAATTCCCCAGTTGCTTGGAAAGACTCTCGCTTTAATTGTTCTTGGTTTTTGAGAGGCATTAGCCTCTGAAGAGGTGAAATGCTTTACAGGGATTGGCACACACGAAGGCCCCAGTTTCTGGGGAAGCCTTTTCTCCCACTTCCAGAGTCTTGTGCAATGCTGCAGTGTCATCCCCTGAGTTGGGCAGAGGGCAAGACGCTGGGCCTTGGCCTATCCCTCAGAATTGTCAGCTCTGCCTGGCGAAGTGCCCTCCTCAATGGCCTCCCACCCCAACCAATATCAGCCATACTTAAAAATTTCACTGTCAGTGTCTTTGACCTAAGCACATCAGGCCAAAATATGGTGGAGTCCGTTTCTCGCAGCCTCAAAGATGGCAACAAACTCCAGGCTATGAATACAGTTCCCAAAACTATTGTGGGGTGGATTTTATTTGATCTGATCCGATTTGACTTGATCTGCTTACTGGTTTTTGTTTGTTTTTTCTTCTAGGCCTTCCCTTCTGCAGACCTGAAGCCCTGCTCCTTAAATTCAGCCTCTACAGTCTCTCAGACCCAGATGTGGATGACACACATAGTCATCCTACCCTGGGGCCTCCCAAGGATGACTTCAGGGCAAAGCTTCTGTGGGGTCCTCCCTCTGAGTCCTCTCTTGGGGTCTTTTCCATAACTCCCAACCAGGCCTGATTTTATTTTTTAATTCTATTTTATTAAAATACAAAGTAAACAATTGAAAGTCCATTCTGGGACTCAGGGTATTTGCTTCACTCATTGTGAAAACCAAAATTCCAACTAGGGCAAGTCATTCATGGGAGGACTCAGTACATTTGAAGTAGCAGTTTGCAAAGTGGTTTTTCTCTTTCTTCATGATTGACCAACCAGATCTGACACGGCCTGAAGGTTATGTGTATGCCTCATCAATTGTAGGTTAATTCAAAAGGAGGAGGAAGAGAAGAAAATGGTCTATTCTTTTATTTTCAAAAAGTATTATGTGCCAATACAGAGTCCATATTATTTAAGGCAACGGAAACTCACTTTTCTTTTTAGTTAGGGAGGTGGGACATTTACAATTATATAACAGAGCTGGGTCTTTCAAAGAATTTTTGATTTACTACGAGACCACAATTGAGTGGTCACTGGAGTCGTTAGCTGAAGAAACTATAAAAGGAATCCCAAACGGTATCTGTTTCCAGTGTCAGGAAATACAGAAAGTTGTTATTTTAGATGTCTGTCTTAAGAGAAAAAAAAAAAAAGCAATGACAATTCACCATGCACCTGTAAGACAAAATGCTACAGGCTTAGGCTTAAAATATTCAGTATTGTTTAAAGACATTGTCATCTAATTCCTATATTGAACAAAAATGACAAAAACGGTTAAGTTAAAAAGAAAACAACAACTACATCCTATGTGTTTTTTCTTGATAAAAGAAGGATCACCAAGACCACATGTGTGACAGGACCATTTCACTGAAAGTTCCATTAAAATTGGAGAAGGATAAAACAGAATCCTCATGCCTTTAATTTCCAGAAAATAAACACCTAGCGTTCCTCACAGAAACTCATGACTAAACATTTTAACTTTCCTCTCCCCAAAATAATTTCTCTCATTCCAATTTGGAAATGATCAAGATATATTTCAATTAAACATATGCTGAAATTAATCCATAGAGCAACTTGTAATTTTTTTTAAAAAAAATCTAATTGTAAGATGCAAAGGGGGCACTGAAGTGTCCTTTAAAAATAGGCCCATAGTGGGAGGGAAAAGGGCCTTTACAGTTTAACACAAGATTAATGAGGTGCTGACATATTCATGCAGGCAAGGGGACAGACAGGCCTGCCAAATCTTCAACCTTCCCAAATTTTGTCAACAAAACACAGCTTGAATTTGGGACAGGTAAACACAGAAAATGATTTTACATTTGGACTCAACACTTCTCTCTCTATCCTCTTCCTCACTCTCCTGCCCAGGGAAAGAGATGAAGGGAATATGAGGAACAGGTATATTTAGAATTTTATGATCTCTGTTAAATTAAATCTTTACTCTTTAGAATTGTACTGTCCATACAATAACCACACATGTAGTTATTTACATTTAAATTAAGTAAAATTTTAAATTCCATTGTTCCTAAGTTTCCATAGGAACATTTCAAGTGGTTAGTAGCCATATTGGACAGGGCAGATATAGAACATTTTCATCATTGTAGAATGTTCTATTGGACAGTGCTGCTGTAGAATGGTTTTGAAATAAATTGTTCCAAGTTATTCATGAAGATGTCCAAGTTATATCTCCTGAAATAGGTATTTGTCTAAGTGAGCATGTTTAAGGTTATGTACAAGTATTTTTTATCACTATATTTTTTAGAATTCATTTTCTATTTGGGGCATAACTTTCTAATATAGCAATCCATAGATGTGCTGATGAACATGCAGTGTGTTCCATGCTACCTTATATCTGGGTCCAGCCCTCCAGGTGAGGGCATCCAGTATGAGGAGATTAAAAAACAAAACAAGATAAATCAGCAGGTACACATGGACTATGGAAATCTTACACTAACATTTCTTTCAGTGATTCAGAATGTCTTCTGCTTTATCCTGGACCTAGCTATCCCAAAAGGTTGTTATTTTTATAATTTCACCCCCTCTATTTAGAATTAAAAAGAATTCAACATAAAATTGATGATTCTTGAGTCCCAAGATTTCCTGGTTGATTTGACTTTGGCCAGGTTAACTTAATTCTCAGCCACAGTGTTCCTGCCTGTCAAGTGGAAATACTAATAACAGTACCTTGTTATGTGAGGCTTATGTTATTTAAAGCAGGCAGCATGCTTCCTGGCTCATTCTGAGCACTCAACAAATGTTAGTAGCAGTAGTATTGTAGCTGTTACTCTGTTGGAGATGCTCACCAAAAAGTTCAAGTTAATGTATTGGCTGATCATTTGAAGTCATAAAGAGGACTCCACATAAACTATAGAGATACAGAAATTATCTCTAATATGTTCACTGCTTTATCAGTCTAATAATAAAACTGTAGAATTTTAAGGACTTTTGTGCTCACAATATGTAATTAGTAATTTAGGCCTCATATAAATTGCAAACTTCACTGGTTTATTTAATTTTACTTTCTAGAACCCACTGGCATCTTAGCCTGTTACATTATAGGCTTGAAACTCAACAAAATCTTATTGCTTTGAAAAAAATCTATAAATTAGACATCTTCTCAATTCAGTCTAGTGTTCCGAGTATTCTGTATGAATGAAGAATTCTCTGGGAGTTTTGTTATTGGTTATATTTCCTACTATCATTCTTCAGGCTGTCCCTCTTTCCTTCATATCAGGCAGGGGAACTTATATGTCCCAACTAAACTTAATTATCTAAGATTCATGACCTCTCTGTCTCATGAGCAGATTTTCAAAAATACAAAAGCCACTGAATTCAGTCAAGGGTGGAAGATCACATTAACAAAAGTAGCAGCTCATGTAAAAGAAGGGGTTATGACAAAAGCAACCAAAAGAGTTGAAATCTATATTTTTAAACATTTCTACAACAAATATGGAATCAAGAAAAAGATTAGACCATAAAAATATTTTCAATATTTAAATTTAGAATATTTTAGTAGTAAGTACCTCCCTCCAAAAACTAACTACTTTAACAAATTAATTTTGAATGAATATAAAGTTATAAATTTGGTTTTCAAAGTTAATATATGGTAACCCAGTGTAGGAAACTGGTGCTAAGG